TGAAAATAGTTTATAACTTTGTTGCAGTCAAGGTTTACAAGGGAAAAGATTTAATACAGGACATATAATTTATAGGATTATTTTACAATATTCACCAAAAGAGTCAAATGCAAAATAGTTCAGGAGATCTGTCCATACACTAGAGACCCAAAGAATACATCTGAGGTCCTGGATCCCAAGGCAAAGTGCTGCGTGAATTCAGCTGGAGGCCTAGAGCCCACAAAAATGTCCCATGTAAGTCTGCTTCATAGATCTGCACTGGGAAGGCCCAAAAGTCAGTTGCAGAAGCTAGAAAGTCTGAGCCAGCAGGATGAAGGATCTGTGCCAGCGGGCTGAGGGATCTGCACTGGAACCAGGAAGTGACACTCAAGGTAAGGACCAGAGCTCCCCTAAAGAGAACTGCAGCCATCCTCAGTGACACTGAGGACCTGAGCTCCTCCAATGATAATAGCCAAGTTCGTATCAGGAAAGCCAACGTTACAAGCTTCTCCAGGAGGGTCAACAGCACCATCTTCCCCTCCAGTTCCCCTTTAATGCTGTTGGCAACAATCCTCAGGTGGACCTTCCACACCCAGAACCAGGCTGATTCAGTTCAGCTGGGTGTTCCAAGATGACCGTTAGTTAATCCACCACAGTCAGAATCCAGCTTCCTCTACCATCGTCCCTTCCACACTATCCACAAATGGGCCATGAGACAGAAGGAAAGAGAGAGACAAGCAACAGAGAAATCTAACAGGATACATGGGAACCAGCTTGTAGATACCTGAACATGGCCACTGAAATGTTCAAAATCTGTATATAATAAATAATAACCTGTTAGGAAAATCTTTTCAAAATCTAAGAATATATATTTTCCACATTGTGTGTGGAGTGGATATAGTGTAAGAATATGTGCATGTATGTGTGTGTTTGTGCAAAATGAGGCACACCAGTAATCCAGAGAGAAAGTGTGTAAAAACCACCAATTCCCTCATTTTGCAGAGTTGAGTGGTAAGGGACACTGGTGGGACAAAGACATTGTACTGTACTCCTTTTTAATTTCATACCATTTTTTAATTTTCCATGTAGACAAAATATCTATTTAAAAATAAATAACAGGAAGGTTTAAATAGTATGAGTTACTTTACAAACACCCACAAAAAGTGAAAGAATAAAATTTTAGAAAGCCCTGCTTTGGGGCTTCTCCCCAGCAGTGACTGCCACCCAGCAGAGGGATACAGCACAGGTGCAGGGCCAGATGTCTCTCTGTGCGCCACCCATGATGCAGTAGTAGACAGCAGTGTCTCTCAGAGCAGCCTGGGGCAGGCTCAGGATGCTGGACTTCCTATCCTCAGGGATGAATAGAGATGCCACTTCATTGGCCACGTTTGTCTTATATCCCTGGATAATAAACCGTGGCCCCTGGTGGTGGGCTTGTCGGTACCAGAAGATGTACTCATTTGTAGCGATGTTGGGGTGGGTGCAGGACAAGTTCACCTCTTGTCCCTCATAGGAGTCCACGGAGAAGGGCTGAGTGGTCTTAGCAAGGCTCCCAGTGCCTGTGGGAGCAAACACAGTGCTGGAGCCTGTCCTGGAAAAGGTGGATTAGAAGGCCCCCTCACTCCCCAGTGGTTCTCTCACAGTTGAATTCACCCTGTCCCCAACTTCCCCACCACACACCTACACACACAATTTACTTCTCATTTGTGCTGCAGGATAGAAATATTCTTCATATTTGTTCCAGGGAGGCCCAGGACTACCTATGCAGAGTCAGCACTTTGCTTTCCCCCTCTCATGGATGAACCTAGGAATCAGTAGTCCAGAGTAACTTTACTGCATGAATCACCCTTCGTAAAAAGACTTAGATGCTGCCAGGGAGAACAACAGGACTGAAGGCTTTCCCTCGCTGTCTTGGACAAAGAGCAGAGGACCAGAGTAAGAATCTCTGTTCAACCTCCTCAGGCCCAAATCCAAATTCCTCTTAGTCCAAAATAACTTACCCAGGATCAGGAGCACAGTCACTGCTGTCATCTGCTTCATGTTTTAGGGATACTAGGGTTGAGGTTCTGGATTCTTCCGTTGAGTCTGGCCCTGAACTGAAAGAGGAACCAGGGACAAAGCGTGGCGGCAGCTGCCGTGGCTCACTCTAGCAGCTGTCACCTGGGGCTGTCCCTAGGCGAACAACCAACTGCAAGGCAGCAGATCTGCAGAGTGCAGTTTCCCTTCACGTTCAACTGATCTTCAGGAAGAATAGGGGGTAAAATCTGCCAGGACACGAGCCTAGTACAAATTTCATTTTAGAGCTTTGTTTTAGATCTTTTTTAGATCTAACTGCTGAGAGATTTAACATAAATATAGATAGATATATAGATTTATAGATATCTCAGCCATAAAGAAGGATAAACTTAAGTCATTTGTAGGAAAGTGGATGTATCTTGATATCATAATGCTGAGAAAAATAAACCAGACTGATGGTTACATTGTGTGTGGTTTGTCTTATATGAGAAAGTAAAAGTAATTTAAAGAGCAAAATAAAAGAAAAAAGTTAAGAAGCACAGAGACTTTGTGGAGACAGGAAGGAGATCTAGGGATGGGAAGACAGGAAGGAAGGGATGGGGAAGAAAAGTAAAAAGGACTAGAGTGCAGCATGTGTATGTAGCAATCCCTCACAATGGATACAGTCATTATGTATCACAAACATAAACTAATAAACAAGTATGGGTTTATGTGAAACTGAAAAATACACACAGAATATAGTTCAAAAAGCTAAAGGAAAAGATTTTTTATATTTTCACCATAAAGAAATAATACGTTTGAAGAGAGATATGTTTATCTTGATTTAATTAAACATCACAGACTTTATTCCTGTATCAAAACATCACATGATATTCCATAAACATGTATAAGTTTTATTATAGCTTTATGCAGCAGTCAAAAACATTTTAAGTTTAAAAAGAGTGCAAGAATTAAGAAGTTTTATCCACACGCACAACTCCCCAGGATGAATGTAATCATTACATACTGCAAGCTGGTACTAATAAAACTTTTTCTAAGAAAGAAATGCAGTACAAACCCAGTAACACAAAAAAAAATTTTTCTAAAGGCCAGGCGCTCACGAAGAGGGCCATATCCGAAAGACACCGTCCGCGAGTGAGTGAGCAAGATGCTGTAATAGGTATGTTGGTGTCCACGTTAATACACCTTGCACAGAAATGAAACCTGGAAGGGCTGCACTTCAGATTCACCCATTGCAACAGCGCCTCCGTGTGGTAACAGCGCTTGGACAGAAAAAAATGTTTCAAACCGGCAACATATGGAAGGTACAGTATTTCTTTGTCGGGTGTGGCAACAGGTAGCGTGGTTTGGTTTTATGGAGTACGGAGTGTACTTTCTGTGATGTAAGAAGCACTGAGTGAAGAGTCAGACAGCTGGACTGTGAACTCTCCGTTCTCCGTAGCTTTGTGATTTTGTGCAAACCACTTGCCCTCTGAGAGGCGCAGTTTCATCTCTAAGAGAGTTTATAAGGATCAATTAATTGAGCATAAGCAAGCTTTTTCTAAAAATTGTTCTACAAAAATAAAAACTGTGTTTAATAAGGGAAACAGCACAAGACCAAAATGACCTTAATTCTGAAAACAACAGGTGGAACCTGAGGTTTCTTTGTTCCATCTATTATCTCCAGTAGGAGAATATGGAGATAAAGTTAATTTTTTATTAATAGAGCCACAGCACTCCATCCTTTTATCTACACCATCATTAAATAAAATTGGAAACAACAAATATGTATATATATGCATGCATAATTATTCCTTTAGGAATCTATTCTAAGGAAACTAGTGGATTTATGAAAATTTGAGAATTAACTGGAAATCAGTGAACTCCCTACCAATAGAAGGCAAAATAATGACGTATAGCAAATAGACCCAGTAGGAAAAAGAGGTGATCTCCTAACTCCACTGATCTGCCACCTTGGCTAACGTTCCCACTCTCATTTAAAACCCTAAGCAGCAGACTGGGTTTTCTTGAACAGCCTACTCATCAGCGATCTGAAAAGCTGAGCAGCATGCAATCCAAAATACAACTGTGTTCTTTCTACACACCTACGTAGATCAATTTTATCTCTTATTAAAAGGCTGGAATAATTTACAAGTAATCCAGAAGTTTATATTCAATGTCTTTAATTGGCGGAGGAGTAAGGCTAAGGACTGAACCCCAGGCCTCGGACGTGCTAGAGACAAGCTCTACAAGTGAACTGCACTCTCGGCCTCTCTTTCATGTAATTTACTGCTCCATCCTGCCTACAAGATCAAAACTTGTATTCTGGGTGTGGTTCACACAAGTGATTTGAGTAAGTGGACACTTTCTAAGAAAATGTTTTTAGTCTATAGCCAGAAGATTTAAAGATAGCTATACATTTGTTTGAATGGAAGATCAAGTGTTTAATGTGCATTGATTTTTCTGTGTATTTGCATTTATTTTTTTGTTTAATTAGTACATATTTTCCATACATAATAATCACATTCATCATGAAGGATTTGTGTATGTACTTAATATGTCTTCTTGTTCCCCTCCCCTCCCTGCCCTTCAACACCGCGTACCCTCCCGATTTACAAAAGCTCTGTTTCCATTTTTTTCTTCATTTCTCTGTCTTTTTAAAAACCCCTTTTCCCTTCCTTCCCTCCCCTTCCCTTGTTCTTCTTCCCATTTTATTTTTATTTTTAACTCATTTTTCCCATAAATGACTACCTACAATTCTGGAGACTGTAAAATAAATAAACAGCTGCTAAAAACAGCTGCTTTAAAAATGGCCGACAGTGAAATACTGAAAACACACTGACGTGAAAAGGAAGATCAGAACAGAGTGTACAGTACTTTCACACCTTTTTCATGTGCTTTTGTTGTATATGACTAGATAGAAATCCACTAAGAATCAACTAGATCTGAACTCCCTTCAGACATGAACAGGTGACCTTTTCCCTTTGCTGTCCTAGAATTTTCCAATTTTTCTACAACTAGATTGCTTTTAGAATCAGAAGGAAGAGAACTTGAATTTTTTAGTGATATGAATTCTTCTCCTGTGGAAATTTGTTACATGAATGATCAAAAAGGGACTGTGATAGAGAAGTCCATCAGTACAACAGGCCAGCACAGAGAGCTCATGCAGTAAGACAAAAACTCAGAGTTTCTGCTGAAAATATACCATGGTTATGAAGCACAAATCTGAAGATGATAAAATGCTCTCTGCAGAATGAACCAGGAAGGAGAGCACAGCACCCCTAGCATTTGGCCAAGAGACACTCAGAGAGGGCGGGTGTGGGGACAGCTCTGAACTCTTCTAGTGTTCATAACCTATAGCCCACTATGTGGGAAGATGAAAAGAGGGTGTAACAAATCTGCCTCTTAGGGAAGAAAAATGTTTTCAGTAGAACAGCCTCCTTCCTAACTTTCTTTTCCTGGTTTTTTAAATAATCCATTCCTTTTTTAATTTTAATTCCTATAAATACTCATTGCTCTATAAATACTCATTGCTCTCCCAAGCTCATAATAAATGACTTGCAGAAAAATAACCTGTCTGTCAGAAAAGTACCTTATCCATCCAAAAGGAACAGGCAGGTGCTGGTTCCCAGGGGTTGAGGTTCACTTCTGTTTGGATAAGAGAGGAGGAGAGCTGAGAATGCCCACAGGATGGAACCACAATCTGTCCGCCCCTGCCCTGTGCAAAGGTTCCCTCTCCATTGTCTCACTGCACACCCCAATCACACAGTAAAAACCTTTGCACACCTGAGCACAGAGAGATGGAGATTTTACACAACAAAGAGAAGCACTATCTCCTTCAGAGCTAAGTTTAAATAAATTTTTTTTTTTTTTTTTGGTTTTTCTCCGGTACCGGGAACCAAACTCACGACCTTGCACTTGCCAGACAGGCGCTTTGCCGCTGAGCTAAGTCCCCAGCCCGTAAATAAATCTTTTTCATTCCCCAAAATACTGTCTCCCAAGATTTGGGGGGCGTGGCAGGCAATGCTGACTAGACATCAGAAATAGACAATGCCCATTCCAGCAAGCCTAAAGAATGTGGGGGGGAAAAGAATGTGAGGGAGAGACAGGCTTGGCGGACTAGGAAGGCGGAAGATACTTGTTTGGGTGGCGTCACAACGACCAGGAGACCAGGAGGAGACCCGCACTGATGTCAAGTGGAGTAGGTTGATCCCCTAAAATCACAAAAAGCAGCAGGCAGTGAACAGGTGAAAACACTTGGGAAAGAGAATGCCCATAACCCACAAAAATTCTGATGGTTTCTTCCCCTTTTCCAAGACAAGTTGGATTGCCACCAGAAGGTTCCCAAAACTGAAATGAGGAACAGAACCCACCCATTTTGTAGAGTAAGTTTGTAGATATGCTGACGCTTATTGCAGAAAACTAATTTTAGCACTAGTTAGTAAGACACACAGGAGGAGTTTTATTAGGCAAACATTAAAAGGTAGACAAAGAACTAGAGTGTAGGCCCTCAAAAGACAGAGGCACTTATTTTGTGAAACAGGGAAACTTTATGCTTCCTTGAAGGGGCGAAAAACACCCAGAAGGGTAGTAACCCATTTTATAGTTAGGGCCCCAGCTTTATTTTGTTTTGTTTTGAATAGATAATTTAAGCATTTTTTTTTTATTCCCTCAACTGTTCCTTTTCCTGCTACAGTGTTTTGTTTTGTTTTGTTTTGTTTTGTTTTGTTTTGTTTTGTTTTGTTTGGGGATCAGGTTCTGTTCTTTACTTTTTAATTAAACCAGTTTACGGACTTTTAATATTGTTAAGGAATTTTTGGTGTGATGGGTCTGAAAGGGAAAGGTCCTAAATTTAATCAAAGGAATGCTGATATGGATTGCTTTGGGCAACCCTGGCTGCCTCCTGGAAGTTGAAGTATTTTTTAGAGTACACTTTTTAGTTTTAATTTTCTTATCTCCTTTTTATCTTTATTTTTTTTAATCCTACCTCATTTCCCTGCCATTCTAAGTTTCTAATGCCTTATTTTTAAGGGGATGTAAAAGGCCTGGTGGTCTATCTCTTTGCAACTGCTTTAGGCTGAGGAGGGGGCATTGATCTTGCTTAGCCAAGGATTAAAATTCTTTCCCTGACTGGTCTAAAGGAAACAAAGAAAGATGTGTTTTGCTGTTAATAAACAATCATCTTTTGATACTCTGGAAAAAAGAACAAAAACATTATCAAGTTATTGACAAGTAAGCTTTATTTTATGACCTTGTTAAACAATCTGTGATAGTCAACTACTTCACCAGGCCCTGTGTGGGTAGTTAACCCGTACAAATCAATCATTCTTTTCATTTCCAGCTCAATTGGTTTGTTGTCTAAAGCTCAACTGGGGATGCAGTTAAAGATTATCAATTCTTATCATCTATTTGAAACCAGAAGACTTAGAATCAACCTGCTGTAGACCACTCATTGCCCAAAAGAGAAGGCAGATATTCAAGAAAGGCACACAATTGGCCGAAATTAGCAGTAGAATATTGAACACTAATGGCTCCAAAGAATGACAGAAGTCAGTAACATTCGGCATAAGACTTTATCTTTAACATTAACCTCTATGTGTTTTGAGGTGGAGTTTAAGAGAACACAGATTCTTCCCTGTTCTGTTTATACAGAATTTAATGATCCCCTACTTTAACTGTAACAACGGTGAATGAGTACAGTAAACAAATATATTAGTTTTAAATAATTAGGCATTGAAATTTTTATTATAGGGATATTTATATAGGATATTTTGTAGTCTTGAAGACCTTTTATAATGACTGGCTTCGATAAAATAAACACAGAAGTCTTCAGTAAACAACAGGGCTCTAGAAATCCTCCTTGCTCAACCTCCAGAATAGTTGAGACTGCGGCAAGCACCGCTGGGCCCGCCTCTCTTCTTAAGTGTCAGTACTTGCATTTGTTTTGAACATTCACCTACACTGAAAACCTTGTGCTATCTTATTCCTCCCTCCAATGTATTCTACACAGAGGAATCAGTGATCTGCCTCTGGGCTGAACAAGCAGTGAGGGGTGGCAGTGCCGGCTCCTACAGACGGGTGTGGCTCCACCAGGTGGGCAGTGGTAGCTTAGTAGTCTTGAGCCCAGCAGTCTCCCCAGT